TGTGTTTCTAAACTGGCAATATTTTGACGTTTTGTTTGCTTTTTCTAATTATCAAATGCTTGTTGGAAAATCTTGAAGAAGAAATCTCTCAGGCTGAAAATTCTTTGCTTCAGGCAGCAGCATCATTTCCAATGTACGGGCGAGTCCACTGCATAACAGGAGCTTTGCGGAAGCTATCTCTAAAGTAAGTATCCACAGCGCCTCCTCAGTACGCACTTCTGAGCTTTAAACTTATTGAAATGTGTCCTAGGAAAGCAACATATTGCCTTAAAGATAATTAATAATTAGATTTTAAAAAGTCCATGTATACATTTATTTTAATGTCTTCAGTATTTCATAGATTGCACAGTTTTGAAACCAAATTCTTTTGACTCCTTTTATCTGTTAATTTCCATTTTAAAAATATAATTTTTTTGTTTGTAGTATAAATTACCCTAACATCTTTGTTGTAGCAGCCTGCAGCTGGTCAGTGAGTGGAGACCCGTGGTGGAGAAGCTCATTGTGATGTCCTACAGACTTTCCGCCGTGGTGTCTCCAGTGATTCAGAGTTCTTCCCCGGAAGGCCTCATCCCAATGGACACTGATGCAGGTCAGTAAGCGAAAAAAGACAGAACTATTATATTTTTTTCCCTACTCATTTCTTTGGAGAGCAACAGAGGCTAAACAGGGGAAAAAGACATTATTATGATGATTAATGAGATTTCTGCCTTTTTAGCAATGTTTTTAACTATTGAAAAATAACCAAAATAAATAAATAACCAAGTGAAGAGCAACGTACTTCCTCCTCTGGGGTAAATTGGGTTTTATAATGTGGTAATTTCAGAGCACAACCTGCCAGATAATTGCTGAGACAAGGGGAGAGGACAATACGAATTAGAGAGGTAACAGTTGATGGAGTTCAGTCAGAGCAGGCAACTTGTTAGAATAGAGGAAAAGAGGAAGACCATTTGACATGCAAAGACCATTTAATTTAAAAAAATGGAGGAGGTACTCAAAATGTCCAAAACTGAACTCATGAACTTTCATCTGTCTTTTCCTTCCCAACCCCTATGTCTTTGGAAATGGCCCTACCAGACATCTATTTATGCAAGTCAGGAGTCTAGGGCTACTTGACATCCCCTTTGCTCCATATGTCTAG